GGGGGGGGGGGGGGGGGATGTGTGCCCCAATGACATAGCAAACTACTGCCGACTTCTAGTAATCTAACTCTGAACTTATATCTTCAACGTTAATTGCACAAACAAAAGACTTACCATGAGTTTCAGGAGCGATGTATCCCAATTTGAAACCGGCATTCGAGATTTTCCCGATATCGAAGTTATCCCAAATTGGCCTTTTCGCCACTGTCTCTTCTGCTGCCTCCACTACCTCTGCCCAAGACAATTTGCGACTGCTCGTTGGCGATTGAACCATTTTAACCCATTCTTCTTGCATTTTTACATGTGATTCGGTCTCTTCTTCCGTCAATTGTTCCTCCAATTGTGTGTTTTCCTTACCCCTCGGCGACTGGTTCACTACCACATCAAATTTGTTTTGATTTCCTTTTCTTCCTTGATTTGTAGTTACCAATGATGACGACGCTTGCGCCACTAGTGCTTTTTGAGATGGAATTCGTGCCCTCTTCCCCATGGATGCGCACATTAAGCTAACATGCGCTGAGAGAAAAAACACATCGCAGAAAACGCCTTTTGAAAACAGAGTGATGATTTTCTCATTCATCTTTCTCATGATAATGGCATAACCTGCTATTTAACTTCTTCATTTGATATTCCTCTTTAATTTTCAAAACTGCACAAATCACAAGGAGCAAATAATTTTGTTTGAATTCTAGGTTAGTCCTATTGGAGCAAGGTACACAAGAGGGAAAGGGAAATTAACTTTTGTTAGTCATTACTTAATGGGATTTCTCTCATTTGCAGTCATGTTGAGGGGGTCCGAGTGTAATATCATATAAGCCAAAATAAGATTTGAGCATTTTTTTTATCAGATTAGTGAGGGTGTGAGTATCTGTCATCAGTGGCGAATGCAGATTTTTCACCAAGAGATTTCATCATCTACTATATAAAGATAAAAAGAAAAATGACCTTGTATAATATACATTATGGTTTTTCAACGAATAGGATACGGACGAGCCCCTTCCGCTCCTCTAGCTCCGCCACCGTTAATGATGAAGCTTATGCCAGGGTTATGCACATTCTGTGGCTCAAAACCATTTGATCCACCTTGAGAGCCTGCAGAATAAGCATGCATGCCATTTCTTTTTTTAGTTCGAGTCGCAACACGTGCTCAAATGTTTTGTACCATCTTATATTGCGGAAACAGTTTCCAACATAATAGTCATATCACATTACATATTACCAACACGACATACATAGTACTGTTTGATTTGGTTGATGCATGTCTGATTTGGTTCATTTTTTTCTGAAAATTCAGCACTGTTCGATGTGCTCCATTTTCATGCGTTTAATCACCTTGAAAGCATCAGCTTGACAATCGTGTATATGTAGACCAACACTTTATCTTTATGTCAATGACACATATATTGAAGACTAATAGTGTTGTCATATTTGAGATTTTTATTTAAATTGACTCATTTTATGTTGGTTATCAATCTACTGCAATAACCGTTCTTTTTTTTTTTATCCGGGATTGAGACTGGAAATCCAAGCTGATAGAAGATATTTGGCCCCTAAAAACTCTTATCTTCATTATCTAAACAAGAATTAAATCTAAAAATATTTTATTCTAACTAATTAAATAAGAAAAATAT